GAGCCACCGCCTTGATCGTCTGCCATGCTACGAAAAGCTGGAATAGGTTGTAAGAGGCTTCAGAGTGACAAGACGAAGATATGGCACCAATCGTTGATGTATCTGACGGTGTGAGCTATGTAGGGAGATGTAGTCTGCCTGGCTGAGGTTTCCGAGACGATAGGAATGAGTGGTTGAGTACTGTTGTTGAGATGGCTGAAAATCAGTCACATTGGTGCTGATTTATTCAATAACCCCGCTCCACCTATCCAGGTTCGGGCAGACAGATAGTGGTATCTCTAGCCTTCAGACAATAGGTGTGGTTCATTGCTTACTGCACGAATGTGCACAAGGTTGTTGAGAGCATTTTGTTTCGATTTCGATGTATTAACTCTTTGACGTCTTCTAAAGCTTGAACATTTCTACTAGCCTTGGTTTTTAAATTTGTTCCATTCACCTTTGTCTACTTGGATATCACTCTTTTTTCTACTCACTTTTTTTTTCATACTGCTGTCAAGTGAGACAACTTGAACTGATGAACTTCGTTACGAGATTCTCCGTTGATTTTTTCTGTTTGTCCATCTTCTAAAAAACAATTTCTAAAGAAATGTATGTTTAATAAACTGACGAAGTAACTCCATGTTTAATCAGCTTCCGATTTATTATTATTAATATTAGTCCCTTGGGTTCCTAGTGGAACATAGGGCTTCAGTAGCACGCCTCCAGTGACCTCTGTTCTCTGAGATCTTTTGAACCTGGTCCCACGACAGCCCAGAAGCTCTCATTTCCTCCTCGCACGACCTCCTCCATGTCACCCTCGGACGTCCAACTCGTCGCTTCCCATGGGGATTCCACTCGAGTACCTGGCCTGAAGCGTGATGTCCTCCGTCGGCCTTCTCAGTGCATGCCCAATCCATCTCCACTTCCTCCTGCATATTTGCTGCGTGATAGGTTCTTGGTTGGTTCGTTCCCAGAGTTCCTTGTTGCTTATTATTTCTGGCCATCTGATCTTCAGTAGCGAGCCAGCGTAAGCAGTTGTTGATGAATGTCTGTAGTTTATTGGAAATACCTTTCGTGACGCGCCAAGTCTCTGAACCATACAGGAGCACTGACTTGACGTTGGTGTTGAAAATCCGTATCTTGTTCCACATGCTGAGTGCAGAAGATCTCCACACTGGTTTCAGGCTAATGAACGCCTGTCTTGCTTTTCCGATTCTGGCTTTGACATCCTCGTCCGTCCCGCCTGTAGTTGAAACAGTGCTTCCTAGATAAGTGAAGGAGGTTACTTCCTTTAAGTTTCTCCCGTTGACGGTGATTGGAGTTTGTTGTTGTTGTTGATGGTGGTGGTGCGGTATCTTCATCACTTCTGTCTTCTCTATATTCACCTGAAGTCCCGTCTTCGCTGCCTCTTCTATCAACTTGTTAGTTTTTGCCTGCAGATCTTCAAGTTTGTGTGACATTAGACACAAGTCATCGGCGAAATCCAAGTCCTCTAGGTTCTTTTCCGTCGTCCAGTGTATCCCCCTCTTCTCGCTACCTACTGTTTGCTGCATGATCCAGTCCACCACAATCAGGAATATCATGGGAGATAGTAGGCAACCTTGTTTCACTCCTGTCTTGACTGCGAAAGCATCACTGAGCTTTTCATTGTGGATTACTTGGCATGTGGCATCTTCATATAGATGTTGAATGAGGCGGATAAAGGTTTGCGGTACTCCGTAGTAGTGAAGCAGTTTCCAAATTACTTCTCGGTCGACGCTGTCAAAGGCCTTCTCAAAGTCGATGAAGTTGAGGTAGAGAGCTGAATGCCATTCTATGGTCTGTTGTATGATGATGCGTAGAGTGGCGTTGCAATTTGGTCTGCACATGATTTGTACTTTCTGAAGCCTGCCTGTTCCGGTCGTAGTTTTGAATCCAGTGCGTCTTTAGGCCTCTCTAGGATGATGCGGCTTAATATTTTGCTTGCTTTGGGTGGACAGGAGAGTGATTCCGCACCAGTTCTTGCAAATACTGAGGTCTCCCTTCTTCGGCAGTTTGACAAGGTAACCTTTCTTCCAATCACTAGCCAGGTACCTTCTCTTCCTTCCAGACCTTCTGCAATAATGGTGTGGTGTGAGCATGTCCTCTGTTGTCTCTGCATCTGTTCTCAGTGCTTCTGGCGGTATTCCATCTGGTCCTGCTGCTTTCCCGCATTTCAGTAGCTTTATGGCGTTCAGGACTTCCATTTTCGTTGGGGGATTAATGTTCACTTGTAGTTCAGCGGCTGCAGGTGGTATTTCTGGACGAAGTGCAGGTGGTGGTCGATTAAAGAGCTTCTTGAAGTGGTCGGTTCATCGTTTCCTCTGTTTCTCTTCTTTTGTAATTAAATTTCCTTCTTCATCTTTTATTGGTTTCATCTGTGTTGGTCTCTTCCCTGCCAGATAGCAACCTGGTTATTTGATATAGTGTTGTCAGGTCTCTCCTACCTGCAGCCTGTTCTGCTTCACTTGCAAGTGTTTCGTAGAAGTGTCTTTTGTCTTTGCGTGCACTCTTCTTCACTTCTTTGTCTAGTGTTTTATACATTGTGCTCAGTTCCTCTTGTCGTTGAGCATCCTTGCACTGGTTTATCTTCTGCTTCACCATCACCATCCTCCTCTATCAGCTTCCAGCTATCCGTCGAGATCCATTCCTTGTCTTCTTTCTTCTTCCTTCCTAATACTGTTGTGCAGGTTTCTTTCCACATAGCTTTCAAAGAGTTCCAGTGTTCTTCCACACAGGTTTCTTCAGGGATGTTGCTCGATGTCTCCCATTTTGTCTTGATGGCTGCCTTGAAGATCTCCTTTGTAGTTTCATCCTTCAGTTTCCGAGTGTTGTACTTGAATTGAGGTCTATCACCAGCTTCCTTGAAGGCTTTTAACTTGATTTGGAAGGTTCCTTGCACTAGGTAGTGGTCTGAACCTACATCTGCTCCTCTTCTTGACCTTGTGTTAAGTAGACTGCGTCTCCATTTTCTTGAGATTGAGATGAAGTCGATTTGATTTTTAGTGTGTCCATCTGGTGAAATCCATGTCGCTTTGTGGATATCTTTGTGCCTGAACACAGTGCCTCCAATCACCAAATCGTTGAATGCGCAGAATTCTACAAACAATTCTCCATTCTCATTCATTTCACCTAGCGCCTCTCGACCCATGGTTAGTTCTCTTCCTGTGTTGTCCGCTCCCTATTCGGCTTTCATGTCACCCATTAGAATTTTGATGTTGCCAACTGGGGTTGGGTCTTGTCCAGTGTTGATTGCAGTTGTCTGTAGAATCCCTCCTTTTTCTCTTGCTCTGCATTATTTGTAGGTGCACAGCGTAGCAGTGAATGATTGTAACCTTCCTTCCTTTTGAGTTGAATCCATCTTGCTGTCATGATCCTGATCTTGGAGGAGACTGGTTCACACTGCATGAGAGCCTTCGATGCTCTTGAGGACATCATGATAGCCACTCCATAACTCAGTGTGCTCGTGGTTGTCGTGTGGGTGACAATATCGGAGTAGATTATTGATTCTCCAGTTGACAGTTTGTAGAGTCCACTCCCATTCCATCTACTTTCGCAAATTCCTAGCACTTCGATGTTATACCTTCTCATCTCCCTTGCAATCTGGGCTGCCTTACTGGGTTCAAACATGGTGCGGACATTCCATGTCCCCACGTTTACTTTCGCTTTCATCGAGAGAAGACACATCGGCCAATTGGCTTCCCGAAGGCTTTCACCAACTGGCGTCATTTCGCCTCTCCGATTCCAGCGGGGAATAAGTTTGTTTTTATTTTTTATATTTTGTTTGTGCTTTGAAGTTTCTTTAGTGGTTAGATTAGTTTTCAGGGGTAGGGTTGCTAGCCCTATGCCCAACCTTCCCTCTTTACCCGGGCTTAGGACCGGCTATTAACTAGTAAACTAGTTAACCAGGCGAGGTTAGCTTCCGAATTACAAAACTAATATTCTTGGTATAATAGTTAACGACAAAAATCGGTCATTTTAGAAGAATTGAACCGTCTGTCAACAAGTATTGATGTTCAACACTGAACTTTTATAGAGTTTCGTTTGTGTAGATGAGGAGGGGAAGTAATTAATAAAACAATTATCTAAGTTGATAATCTAAATAAGAGTTTTAAGTAATATGGTGTTGTTTTCAATATAAATAATACTGGAAAGCCAAGTTTAAGTACATAGTAATGAAGGTACTACAATGCTGACTGACTGTGAAGGAAGACTTTTTATCCCCTTGGGTAGATTACTTTCGTACTGAGTACTTTTATTCACACCAGTGAATTGTCATCTACCAATCTTGTGATATTTGAAATAAAATTGCTTACTATTTATTCACAAGAATTATTTTTTCATGTCAGTGTAAGACCTTGATTACATAATCGAGTTTATTCTCTGAATACATGACTGAGCCATTCTTGCAAATCGAATATGCAGTCAGTTAGCATTATCAACACGTTACCATTGAGCTTGCCAGGGGACCTAAATGTCCTGGGTTTGATCACTGGTAGGGTTATGGGTGCACAAAGCTGAGGAGTCTCATTCTAGGACGAAACAGTTGCCCAGTTCTTCCAGGTCTCTAATATTTATCCAACTAATGTCGGTCCATGATGAGTTTCAACCTTAAATCAATAAACTTGCTACAAGCCTCCAAACTGAAATATGGTGTTATTATCATTTTGACCATCTGATTGAGATAGCCGTAGTTTGGCAGACTAGTATTTTTACTGGGTGATGATTGAAGGTGAAAAGAAAATTTGAACTAATGCCGGACTCGAACCAACGATGGTCGGGCAAAACCCTTGATGATTGAAGTGAAATAAAAATCTGGTCAGCAGTTGGATCTCGTAGCTCAGTTAGTAGAGCATCGGGCCGGCGGTTATTGGTTTGAATTTAGCCGCAGTCCAAATTTCCATTTGATCTTCAATCATCACCCAGTATAAATATGGTGTTGTTGTTCGTTCGCTTAGTTTTCGTTAATTTTATTATCTATTCTTTTTGTAATTAAATTTCAGGTGGTAAATAATTGACCATACTACCATTACCGCTAATAATAATAATAATCATGGAAACCGAAGAATTGGAAAGCGAATTAACTCAATCAATTCGACCTAACTTAACTGAATTATTACGTATATGGGATTATGTGGGTAAGACATTCATTTTCCGTTATTCAACTTTTTCTTATCGAAGTTTAAATCGTCCTATATAGGACTGATTAGTTATTACGTACCCATGATTCCCGCTAGGGGTCGAACTCAAAGCCTTCAACTTTCACGGCGAACGCCTTGACCATTCAGCCATTGGGTTAGAGTTCAGTGGTTCACAGTTTCCTACTTCTGTCAATTTGCTATAAAACGCATCTATCAATCTAAGCCTTTTAGTGAAGACTATTCGGATATTTCTTCTGAACTACACCGAAAATGATAGAAAAAATATACCACGTTTTGAACTATGGTGCTGTTGTATACACATCAAACTGCTCCTGCTGATGTGTACAAAGAATGTTCAATTTCAATTCAGTACCATCTTATATCGTTGAATCAATGGAGTTGTCATGGATGTTTAGCTCTTTAGACCCGATCCTTACTGATATCTTCATTGGGAGTCTAGAATAGACAAAACTGAAATATACAGTCTATTAAATAGCCTTCTATGCAAATCACGTTGATGACATATTTGTTCTATGCAATAATAGTGAACATCCCTCTCACTTACTTAGTCTATTTAATGAAACAAACCGCAATACACCATTCACAATGAGAACTGAACGTGGCAACCAATTTCACTTCCTAGACTTTGGCTTACAACGTCATACAGATGAGAAGATTTATAGATACATTCATTGGAAAGACACATTGAGTGGTCTTTATTTAAACTTTAACAGCTCTTGCCCAATCAGTTACAAAAAATGTCTAGTAAGAGCAGCTTTCAACCGTACACGTAGACTGTACTTTAGAGAGAAAACTGAAGACCTCTTACCTTTATCCGAACACTTTCTGTGCGAAAATAGTTGCCTACAAAAGTCCATTCATAAGTAAGGTTAGGATAGAAATAGAGAGAGTCAAATGTTTTATAGTTGACAAGAAGACCATCTATCTACACTTTGCCTTAAAAGGCGATGAAATCGTCACATTGATGAACTGATGACTGAGTGCTGCATTGATTACGATCTATCCAGCTGCCAAAGTATTACGTGTATATCAGACTAAATTGCTATTCAGACAAAACAAAGTAGATAACTTCTTGTTACCTTCAACTGTATCTACCAATTCACATGTACATGCAAAAGCATATATATTTAAAAAACAGAGAGAAGGGTTCTTTTAAACATATCCCTAAAAATTTCAGTCTTAAGGGTCCACAGGGTTTCAATAGTGCAATCATCCGGCATTTGCTTGATACTGGACATAAAATCATCCAGAGTGATCAATAAACAGCAGAAACCTAATCTTTTTGCGGTTTGCTGAAGCAGTTCCAATTAAAAGACTCAAACCTGATCTATGTTTTCAGAAAGATTCTTTTGTCAACCTCGGCAGCCGTAATCTAAATTTGTAAGTACAAGATTTCATGACTTCATGACCCTTAGTTTTTTTTGTAATCTATTTTTTTGATCTATTTCAAAACCTACTTTCACTTTTTGAGTTGTATTCATCTCATTACTCAATCTAATGAAAAACTGTTAACATTTTATTACGTCTACTTGATGTCATTTTCATCGCATTGTATACAATCCCCCGTTCTCACTGTTTTGCCATGTTCATTCTATCATTGTATAAGTAGTCAACGTTAGAGATGTTTCAACAACTTCAATCTTGGTCAGCTTTATTCTCTGTTACTTTGCATGTCAATTAAAACATTTATCGATTTATGAAAATACGTTGTATCACATGTTTTTTTTATCATAAACAATATTATATTCTGTAGGTTGTAAAACAGCTGATGAGAATCCACGAAATACATGACTGCTAACTCTCCTATTATTATATGCAAATTATTATAGGTCCGTTGAAATAATTATTTCCAGTCCCGTTCACCGCATATGTTGACAGTCTTTCCGTGTATTTTCTATCAATAAATACACACAAGTTGTATTTTCAATGGCTGTATGAGATTTCAGTTCTATTACTGGATGTATTGTTATTGTGCATCAGTCTTGGAAACCATAAAATAGGCATTGGATTTAATCAATCAATATTAACATAGGACCCAGGCATTACTACGTAACGGTCCGGGTTGCCACAGCTCAGTACAGTATTTTGAATGATGTCTGACACTAAAGCGTTATCAACTAAAGAAATATACTGGTGAGTAGTTAGAAAACTGCTCTTGTCGGTCTGGAGATTTCACCAGTTCAATTGGAGCACTGGATGACGGTTTCGGTTGTTCAAGGCCGCAGAACTTCAGCTTGTAGATCATAAAGGACTGTTATACCTTAATTAGGATGGCTTGTTTTCAAATTATTTGTAAATTGCATGTTCTATGTTGACATCTGTCAAGCTACTAAATCACTCATGGAGAAATATTGACAGCTCACTTTATACTGAAGTTAGTACTGAGGACATCGTCTAGAAAGACGATGAAAGCTCCACGATTAAACAACTCAGCTCAGAGAACACAATACAACTAAGACCATCTCCACTATTTCACATTTGTCATAGCTGACTAGTTTCCCAACTACTATGTTGTCACAGTTGGTCATCTTATCTAAGGTATATCAGTTTGTCCTACTTAGCTGACTAGGTTCAGTTGATTTGGATAAGTCGGCTCTGTAGGATAAATTCTTCCGCTTACACGGCTGATAAGTTTGGCCTCGAACAAGGGAAACTGTCATCCTGTGCTTTGATCATCGTCGTTGGACTGAACAAATCTGCGGATCAGTATGATTGGTTTTTAACTACTCATTTTATGTTCAGTAGTATACTTCGAACTCATTTCCTTTTTCAGCTTTATTTTCACTTTCATAAGAGACGTATAACTCATCCCTCCATTATGATACTGTCAACAAATCGTCTGTACAACTGACTATAGTTACCTAAGGTATCTTAGCTAACCTGATATATTTTCCATTTAACTACTTCAAGGTTAAATCATAAACTGCTGTCGTCTGACTCTATTAAGAAATTCTCACAAATCTTTTCAATATTTGATAGGAATTGGCCTGAATCGAAATTTAGCATTCTAAGTCATCAGCTGCGCTAAGGTAGGAGTTTTAGAATTTCAATCTAACTTCATATTACTGTGTAGGCAAGAAAAACTTTATTGGACAAGTTTATCGTTCAGCTAGCCAATGAAAATAAGTATCTTACTTCTAATCTAATGGCTTTATATTCTGAGCAAAAAATGGGTATAAATGATACTTTTTTGTCAAAGAAGGTTGTATTTCTTACGGTCATAGACCGGTGTTTGTCCTCTGAATTTTACCGCTTATACTATCTGACTGGGGACAGTCACCATTCGTATCTCGTCTAAGTGTCTCATTACGTGAGTAGCGTTACTCGTATTTAATAATATTCTGTCAGGCGCTTCAATATTCTTTGCATCACGTCTTATTATAATCAACAAGGTCACTTATTCTTCGTTTTTTCTTCTTTGTTTTGTACAATTATTATTCAGGTTATAATAAATTGGAACGTTCACAGCGTATAAAACAATTTGTTCAGAAGTTACAAACAGTTCTTTGTGAAGTTATTAAAGAAGAGAATTCTGCACGTCTTATAATGGAACAAAAAATTGAATTAAGACGTCGAGAAATAGCCGATATGTGTCAACAGTTAGGCTTAACTCCATTTCTACCTGAACGTGGACTTACTTCTAGTGAATTAATGCGGGTAGGTATCGAATTTATTGGTTGGTATTAATTGATTATAAGTATTATTATTATTTCTTAATTATTGATTTTTTGTTCCTAATTCATTATGTCCTCATATATATATATATATATATATATATATATATATATATATATATATCTTTTTAACTATTGGAACATATTTTGTACTCTAAATGAAGTATATTCAGGTGTTGTATAGAAAGTAATTCATTTTTAGTCTGTTCAGTTTGTTAATAGCTTTGAAATCGATCACTATTTTTCGCCAAAACTTTAAAAAAACTAGATTTCTCTCTAGTCATCAAGATGAATATAAGATCGTGGCAGTATCGAGGCATTCCCCAGCAGAAGCTGGGGAATTCAATCCTGTATAATAACTAGAAGTTACAAGTATCGAAACTAGCAATTGACACCCGCTGCTCAAGAGGTGACTCTCGTGTCCTAGTAGGCTAGCAGCTAACGTTTTTGTGTTTGAAGTGATGATTACGAGGTTTGAGTCTCAGTGAGAAGAACATCACTCACTGGGCTGCAGGTACATCCAGCTGACGAGTCCTAAATAGAACGAAACGCATTCCCTGGATTGTATTGCTAGTCATCGAGATGAATAGGTTTGCCTCTGTATCAGTTGAATAGTGAATACTTAATATAGACAATTACCGTACCAAAAGCATGATCTCTACACTCATCCACACATACTGAAGAGTGTGTGATGATTATTAGGGAAGACATGTACCTAGGATTTTATGTTTGGATGCCGGTTGAAGAAAATGATGATATAGTTTAATTTTATCCTCTTCAAAACTTTTTATGATTGGTTGTTGGCGAACTGATCAAAATTGTGGTTAATTATCCGAGACATTTAGTCAGGTTGTAATCTAATTCACTTTGACTGACAACCGAATGCTGAAGTTTACTAACGTCTTTTCGATTTATGAAGGTGTTCGTGTCCGTTCTTCAGTAAAGATATCAATTGGTAGGCAAAAAACTCAGTTTATTTGTGTGTATGTATCTTAGTTATGACTTGTTTGTGTAACATGTTATTTGAGAAATGCTGTCGGAAGAAGCAACTTCTACAGCTTTGTGAAACATCAAAAGTTTATATTCCTACCTCAGTGGGATTTTAAAAAATTGTTTACCTTAAGGTTTATGGAGACTTTATTTTTAATGTAGTATTCATCACGGAGTGATATCAGTTGGAGGACCATCAAAAACCTGAGAGCAGTATTGGACTCCTCAGCAGTACGCACTTACGATCCAGCTAGGGATCGAACTCAGGACTTTCAGGTTTTACGGCGAACCTATCAACCATTCAACCACTGGGTCGAAGTTCAATTCTTTACAGCTTCCTACTCCTGTCAATTCTCAATATAGCCTGATTATCCACCAAGGTCTTCAAATGGCATCCGCTTCCCTTCCGACTGGTTGACCCCACAGGTCATGACTTCTCATTATAACTTCGTGATATTCATCTGAAGCAATGTCTCTAATAAGGCAGTACTCGTCACGGAGTGATACCAAGTTTCGGAGCAGTGGACAGCCGTTTCGCCTTATTTTGAGACTCCTCAGCCGTGCGGACCCACCACCCTTTATTTACTTCATAGCAATTGTTTAGTTTTAATTCATATTATTAACGCATCAGGTGGTTTGTGTGCGTGTATGTATGGTGCATATGCAGAGTTTCAAGACGAAAAATGACTTCATTTGAGCCTTCGTATATTAGAGCTGGTATCAACAACTGTAAAAGGTAATAATTACAATCTCCAGTAAGTGAGGTGAGCACAGTACACAACAGTGGTTTCTATTTCACTTTTGTATGACTATATGGAATAACATCAAAAAAATGAATGGTTTAACGTATCAGTACACCTGATGCGATGGATGAAGACATCGAATTACTGAGCAAAGCACTTATGAAAAATGGATATCCGACGAAGTTGATAAACCGTTGTAGAGGTCAAGTAGCATCAAAGCCAACTCTATACACGGTCCTTAAGAAAAGTGTCCATATCACTCTACCATACAGAGGGGAGCTAAATAGTATCATTTTGAGACGTAGGCTGACATCGGCCATTAAGAAAACGTATCACGCAGCGAATCTTACCACTGTGGAGAAAACGAAACACATGCTTCACCAAAAACCTAAACACTGCATCAATGATTACGTCACATCCCATTGTGTTCACCAATTTATGTGCGTGTGTGTGTAGTCACACATACATAGGGAGGAGTAATCGAATCATGCAGTTGATGGTGTTAGAACGTATGCCTAAATGGCTTCAAAAACAAATGGAGTGTGAACCAGTGATAAACCCTGGTGGGAGACGACCCTCTTCATCTATAGCCAAACATATTATAGAAACAGGTCACAAAGTTAATGTTCAAACAGCTTTCAAAGTTTTATATAGAAACGGTCAGGGACGTATTCTGAGATTATGTCACTTCCTGTTTGTCCTAATCTTTCTTAATTTTAATCCCCCATTATGTTAATTGTTGTATTTATCCCCCCCCCCCCAGTCCTCGGTTTAATATATATTGACTTGACAAGTAAATGTGTGATCAGATTGTTCGAAATGTATTACGCAAATACCATCACATTGCTCAGATAAACTTCGTCTTCTAATTACGCTATCGAAATTTATAAAAGGGACTAACTGTTTCAAAAGTATGTTTAAGCGTTTTATTGCCAAAGGCTAACACAACACTACCTGTGCTTGGATGAATTACTCGTTAGGCACTTTTAACATTGAGGTTTGTACTTAATTAATATTCTCTGGAAGCAGAGATCTACAGAGTGATGATGACATACTGAATGTGTATTATTCATACTCAATTGTTTTAATTGTGTAATCAATGAAGAGTTTGGAGGCGTCTGATTAACCTTAGCACTAGACTATAAAGACATTGAATATAACTGTTAGCTTTTTGTTGTCATATCTGATCCAGATTCCATGTTTTCCAATTCCTTTTCTTTCATTTGTGTGTGATCATCATTTCTTTTAAAAGTACGCCAGCTCTTCTTGTCTTCTTCATCGGCTACTTCCCTATTCTTAAGATGCATGTGTACCATGAAGAATACTGGTATTAATCATAAAGTTAGTTAAAAGTATAGACCTAGTCTAGTTTCCTTCAACAAAATATGTACAATGTCCATTTCTTTGTTAGTTTTTGTTTTGTTTTTCTCCATGCCTAGATCGATATTATCGATTTTATGTAAAGGTCATTCATTGTAGTTATTAATTTTATCTGTTTACTAATATATTTAACTATTGTAAATAAACAATCATGGAGAATCGTTATCTATTATCCTCCTATTGATTGTATTTGTTTATTACTTATGGCTAAATGGAATGAAAAATATCGTTTTAAATTTTGCTTATTCAAAGTTCAATTTCTTTTATCTCCTGAGTTTCATTTAAATCACCTTCATTTGTTGAAAGATATCAAATGGACTGTTGGTGGTGCGTGTGTACACTTCACACTATAACTTCAGTCGACTAATATTCTTGCTATTTGTTGCTCTATGTTTTCCGGTATTCAGTTCTCCAGAAGTGGTGAATTTCTCTGAATCTGATTGACTGTACAATGATTTCTGATGTGTTCAATCTTATCATTGACGTTCTCGTCATCTGACATCATAAGGATTGATCCTAACCACAGGGGAATCCTTGGTAGATCTAGAATACGCGAATGACATAGTCCTGTTAGGTGAAGAAGCTAACAAGATACAGAGTCTTATGGACACATTGAGTGGCAATTTGTGATTGTTTAGGATGAGTTGGCCACTTCACTAACGTAGTGGGTCATTGGTCAACAAAATTTCTGCACGGATACAGGAGGCTTGGTTGACTTTTGCCAACTTACGCCATCTGTGGCGCCTCCGTGATATCCGGTTGTTCTATGCTTTGGTTCGCTCTCTTCTACAGTATGGCTATGAAACATGGCCATTAAAGGTAGAAGACATCAGACGACTACCGTTGCCTTCTTAGCAGAAGCTATGTGCCATGGTACCACAGTGACACAGAAGTCAAGTGTCGAGCTTTAGGGAGGAAAGTCATTTGATGCCTTTGTAGACGTTTGTCGACTGAGGAGGGTGGGACATGTGTTACACATGCCTAGCCACCGTCTGCCTCGTCGCTTAATGTTATCTGAAGTAAGTTCAGGCGGGAGGAAGGCTCGGAGCTGCCAGACTAAGACATCGCATCATTGCATGAAGTTATTTTCTGTCTTATCTCTTTCTTACTTGATGTGCGGATATGAGGTGTAGCCACTTGGACTGTTGTACAGTAATATCTGTGTCCTATGCTAATATTTAATGGTGGATCGTGGCTAGCAGTGGAATCCAGGATGCGCATTTCGTCCTATTTGGGATTCGTCGGTATGATATAAAAACAATTATACTATGCTAATATTGATTGATTTTGGTAGTGATAGCTTTTGAGCAGGCAACTAATATACTGAGTTGATTACATCATCTTCCGCAACCTCTGCTGATATGAACTTTGACCCTTTTGTTTTCTATGACCGGTAGTACGACCTGACAGTCTACGAGCGATACGAGCCTAGCAGACTACGAACGATGTAAATCTAACGCACAGACGAATTGACCCTAGTGCAAATCAGAACGTCAACCACCACCACCACAACAACAACAATACCACCGACACGCGAAGACAAGAAAAGGAGGTAGACCGTTGACAGAAAGCTTTTACTGTCTCAACAACAGTCAGTACCGTTGACAGCGATGCTGTATATATACGTTTCTAAATGACCTTGACAACAATAAATCCACATTTGGGTTCAAAGAGTTAACAGCCAATGAGGGTTCAGCCTTGAGAGGAGAGAGAAGGAAAACTAGTAATGGTATGAAAACAGCCATGTAGGTCATTTTAAGGTGATGGGTAAAACAGCAGGCAAAGGCTGTGCAAAATTAGGAGTATATAGCATTGTTCTTTCTTACTGGTCGGCAGATTTAGTCTATGTCAGTATGTCTGTTAATTGCTGACTGACGTGAGTGCCACACTTCATTTTTGACTGCTTTCCAGAATAATGCCTGTCGATGCAATTGCTTCAAAAGATGTTGATCTAGTTTGCAGTCATCCAAGAAGTCATGTTTGGGAGCCAACAAACGGATTGTGTTACCTTAAATGAAGAATATCTCAGAGATCGCAACTGGATTACTGAAGCCTTTTAGAGTTCCTGTAGCTCATAGGCCTAAAAAATCTCTTCATTCTTTGTTATGTAGGCCAAAAGATATAATAGTGAACAAAGACCAAACAGACATCTACAAAATAAACTGCTGGAACTGCCAAAAATATTGCATCGTACAGAGCGGTCATCCTCTTTGTATCCGTCTGCATGAATATCAACTTGGAGCGAAGCTCTATGACATATCTTCGCTCATATCAATGCATACGGACAATTGTGAACATGAATTCCCCTGGTGAAATGTGGAAATCCTGGGTAGAGGAAATACGAAAAATGTCAGAAGCTTGGCATTCAGTTCAGTTGGCGATCAACAGACCTATTGACATTGACCCAATCTACCAACCAATAAGAAACAACATGAGGGTCATGTTGACAGGACAACGAATCAAAATACGTATAGAGATAATGACAAGATTTTGGCAGAAATAACCAGTCATACACAAGGTCATCAGGACCAGTTAATAAACCACTTGTGATGAAAATCCCATAGCTCACGTGTTTCTGACGTTTGTGCTGATGATGTCTAGAATGTTAATGGCAGCTTCACGATTAAACGATCTAGCTCAGAGAACACAACATCATTTAAATCCCTCCCTAGGCAACATAGATTCCCCTTCATTTCACTGACTTTGCTTGTTACTGTCATGATTGATTTTATTTATGGTCCTATGCAATATGGTCGACGTAGACTCTGTAAACGTTTTATCGCCAATCGCTTAGATCGAAAGTTTCCCATCTTGCAAATTTAAGTGATACATCATTTTACATCTACTGTAACTAAACACTGCAGTCATGGTAACCGCTTCAGCTCATTGTCATCCAATTACTATTCTAACGTATGATTCATAGTGAAGCATGTAAACTTGTAAAGTCTTACTTGACATTGCTTAGAGATCTCAATCACCAAGTGGTAACATAGTTATTTGAGAGGTCACAAAATGATCAAAAAACTGCAGATTCATTGGTAAGTTAAAAATCTAGACTTAGAGTACTCTGTCATATATACCGCCAAGTGTTTAATCTAAAGCAATTTGTACATGTGGTCGCTAAGAGATATTCAACAGTGAATGCTGGACGTCGTGACACCAATTGCCCTTTATCAATTTATTGTTTTACAGATATTTTGCTTTGTCTTTTGTTTCTCTTTTCTTCCTCTATTAGTCATTGGATGAAAAAGCTGAAGAGCTTATTCAACAAAAAAGTGCTCGATGCGAACGCTACTTTTGGCTACGTTCAAAAATATTACGACTTAATACTTTACTTGATGGAGAACTCTTGACAGATATTGTCAAACAGAAACTTAACACAGACTTTCATATCGCTTTTCCACCAATTACTAAATTCACTGGACAGTTAGATTCCTCTGATCAGAACAATGATAGTAATAATAATAGCAATAATAACTGTAGTGAAGTAGGAAGTCTTGATCCTTCACTAATTTGTAAGTTGCTTTTTCTTATTGTGCTGATAGTTCGATTGTAATCAAGTTTACTTATTTTTGTTACACATATATTTACCCACAGCAATAACCAAACTGAAAGCATGCGAGCAGTTGACACTTCCCAATTTCCCCCACCGTGTAAGGTTAGTTCTTCTTGAGGTATCTGCAAAAGAGTGGATAGTATGTGACCGCAAAATCCTAGGGTCATCTACTTGAGGCCGGTCACATACAGCCATTTTGCAAGTTTGAGATTTTGGTTTTTTGCTTTTGAGTTCGACTGCGAATGAATCCCTGTTGCAAGCATCGGCATGCCACAAAAGGTGGGCGTGTACTATTTTTGGGACCTACCTTTTCTAACCCGCCTCCCATGGAGAAGACAGCATCGGGATGACACTGGTGGTCATCCAAGGGAAAATACCTTATTGATTTCACACTACTGTCCAGTCAGCAGTACGACTTCGCCCTCAGACCCCCATGATAGCGTAAAAATTTACACTGTAATGTGGTAGCTGCTTTTGTCTAACCGCTATTTAACAGGCCTTTGTGGTATGGTCGAACCTCGAGGGAACAAGCGTTCCATCAGCATAATTCCTTTCGTCATTGTGTTATATATAAACTTTCACTGAGTAAATTGAAAGTAACTATCCTACCGCGGCACTATAATCTATCAGCTGATTTTGTTAGCTAAGGTTTTGAAATCGTTTTGTCGTGCCTTTCAAGAAGCAGAAGACAATGATGTCGGCCGCTCACTGTGATCAATCTTAAAGCCATTTTCATCGTTAATTGACAAAGGTTATTAGTTACTTTGTAACATGATGACCTCCGTCTGAAAGGTCTTCATTTACCACTAAACTACTTTCTTGTACTTTTTGTTCTGGATAACTCTCTGATTGAATTTTAGCTGTGAAGTTGGCAATATTTTAAACCGGCTTTTGGTATCTGATCTATTGGGGGGGGGGGGGGGGTTATAGTATTGAGTATAGAAGTAGCTATCAACCCAATTATTTTAGTTGTTGATATTTTTCATGGTTAAGATGGTACTCTTGGACATTATGCATATCATATCGGCTAAAGGGATGTTACATCTGACCTGTTTAAGTAACAAACGAGCTCATTTGTGTACACAAGCCGATCAGGAAATAATGATGTGTATTATGCAGCCACCAACTATTTTAAGTCCTTAAGGGAGCAAATGAGCCGCTTCAAGGTTGTAAATAAGCTGTATTACCGTCTATATCCAACTGTTTGATACAGAATTCAGCATATATTGTTAAGCTATTGCGTTATCTACCATGCTGTACCGCTTAGTTAAGAGAATTTCATCAGCGAAATCGAAACCGAATGAATAATTGATATTCGTTGGAATTTATTCATGAATTTTCTGTTAACAAAACATCATGAGATCGACCTAAACTGATTCAATACTAACAATGGCAATAAAAGTCACACCTACTGTGTGAGAGCCAACGATACTACTACCTGGCTGCTGAAATCTCGGTAGGTGGAACGGAGCCCAAACTCGGCACCTGTTGGTTAAAAGTGATCTTCCTAAACCAATGAGCAACAGCTCAAAACACACCGACAAAAGATCATTATTTCATGAGAAAACTGAGAAGAACAAGGAAGGAGGATGCAAATTAGGTAGTCTAGTGGTACTATGTGGGAGGGACAAGACTATTCATCTTTCCTTTCTGCATACAAACATCTGGTTTGAAAAATTGAATGCTGAAAACTTCTGCAAATCCAAGTAGTATTTTATTCATTGTTCTATTGATGATTTCAAAGCGTTTACTGACATCAACATCACTACTACAATCCTTGAATTCAGTATCCTAATCATACAAGAATAAAACTCATCAGTTCAATTGCAGGACTCTTGACAGTGGTCGATAAGACATTGAGTCATTAGTACTAGAGGAATCGATCACTATGATCAACTTATTCCTCTCCATTTATCGGTACTATTTCCCGGTATATTCCGCATATTTCTTTTACGGTCATTCTTTTCTACTCTTTACTGTACTATTGTGAAATCTTGCAGCTTCAAGCGACGTATGCGTGAGACAGAACGAGAGAAGTTATGGGTTTTTATATTTTTTTCTATTCTCTTGACAATGATAGCCAACTATCTCTTGAGGACGCGTTTACTGCTCTGCAGTTTCCTCTGTCGATCACACCAATGAAAGTAAAAGATATTAAGAGACTTCAGGCTTTTAACCATAAGTGTCTCTGTAACATTGCTCACTTATGGTGATGATATCATTGCGTAAACAATATGCATGTTAGACGAAGGGGCAATAGGCAGGGAATTCAGTCAAGGAAGTTGTGAACCTTAAGCGACTGGAAGTGTCTTGGTTGTATTGTGTTCTCTGAACTGAGTTGTCTAGTCGTGGGACTTTCATCATCTTGCTACACGACATCATCAACACTAACCTCAGGATTAAGTGACCTGTCAGTATCTCACCATGAGTGGTTTATTAACTTGACCTGATGAACTGGTTTGTGATTGGTTGTTTCCTCTGATTGTTATGTCGTTGACTGCATAGATTTCCCTGTAACCTGTTCTTCTACTTGACTTCTGACCCTTACGTCGTTTATCATTTTCCTTATTATTTGGTACATTGGGTCTGTGTCTATACATTTATGGATTGCTGACTGACTGACTGACTGGCTGAGTGACTGGTCTGAATGCCAAGATTCTAGGAAGTCTCTGATGTACTTTGTGTTTCCTCTCTCTCCCTCCAACATTTCTACATTGTCAACATTCAATTCATCTGCATAGTTGTTATCCACGTGTATTGGAATGAGTGATGAAGTCATGTGAGATGTTTAATAGTCAATTGGTGTTCATGTGTGCTAAGGTGGAGATGGTGACCACTTTGTTCAATGTAGTGTTGACTACAGTTATTGCAGTTGATTTTGTGAATGATATTCGGTTTGTCTTCTTGGTTTGTATAATAGTGTTTGGAGGGGATTTGCTGGTTTATGCGTCACACCAACTTCAAGTGGTTTCAGTAATCTTGTGTTTTCTAGCATGTTCTTTAAGTACGATAGGATGATGCGTTTGTTGATTTTTGTCGATGACTTCGAAGTTGATGTTGTATGGGATAGGCATCTTCTGATAAAGTCCCATGGGTGGCTGTTCTTCTTTAGGATGGACATCAAGTAATTTTCATCGTTTCTTCGTGAAGTTGTTGTGCTGCAGTGTGTTTTCGCTCTTTTGAATAGAGTCTGCACGCAACTGATTTTGTGTGTTGTTGTTGTTGTAGTTGAGGATTTGGTCAGTGTGTGCTGGCTTCCTGTACACTTGGGTTTCCAGTTTTCCGGCATTTGTCCTACTGACTAAAACATTCAGGAATGATAGTTGATTGTTTGACTCCCTCTCCATTGTGAATTTGATGTCATTGAAAACGTTGTTGATCAAACTGTGGGTGGTTTCTATATCATCTTTTTAATGGTGACAAAAGTGTCGTGCACATAGCGAATCCAAATGTTTGGTTTGATTACAGGTAGAATAATGGCTTCTGGTCTCTGTATCACTGCTTCTACAATCAATCCGGATATCAGTGATCTCATCGGAGTTCCTTTCATCTGTTTGTATATCTTGCCATTGAATTGGAAGTGTGTTGTCATACAGACTTGAACATTTGAGTTTTGTGCGTTCTGAAAGGTTTTTGTCTTCAATGAGCAGGAGGGACATCGTTTTCTTGGCCAACTGAGGTTCGATGGATGTGTATAGTGCTGTGACACCGACGGATATCATTAATTCGTTGTTTTCTATGTTAATGCTTTTGATCTTTTCTAACAATTCTGTTGATGATTTGATCGAATATCTACATGATTGAACCAGGTGTTTCAGTTTTCTAGAAAGTTTTTTTGATATGCTGTATGTTGGCGTTCCTGAAAGTGAGACTTATGATCGAAGAGGGATGTCTGGTTTATGTAGTTTTGGTCTGACGTAGAACTGAGGAAGGATGGGTCCTTTCTATTTCATTCTCCATTTTTCTTACTTTCTTATTTCTTCTGCTTTGAAGAGTTGGTTCTGGGTTTTATTGATCTGGTTTTCGAACTTTTGGATAGGGTTGATTTCAAGTTAGTACTGAAGATGTCGTCTAGAAAGACGATGAAAGTTCCACGACTATACAACTCAGCTCAGAGAACGCAATGAAACTAAGACCATCCACCTGAGCTACAAATATTTTCCACCATTTTGACTAGAAGTGTTTTTGACATTTGGTGCGCATGCCGAACCACTGCCTACCTCTATAAAAAACAATGTTGGGTGAGAAAAAAGCTCTGAGTGATCAGAACAAGACGTGACTCCAGTCCATGCGGCCTCTAACTGTGAGTCTACGTCATGTGGGGAGATGTAGAGTGCCGGGTTGGGGTCACTGTTTGAGGACTTTTGATGACATGGCTGAAAATTAGTCTTAATGGCACAAATCTATTCACATTTTGACGTCTATCAGCTTGTTTGTTTTCGCCTGTAGATCTTCGAGTTTGTGCGAGAAGACATTAGGCATGAATCATTATGGTTGGCGAGATGAAAATCTTCTCCTGGGGTTTTTTTCATCGGTCCATCCAGCGTATGTTCCTCTTCTCTTTCCTCACAGTTTGTTTCATGATCCAGTCCAGTCTAGCTGACTACAATGAGGAAGGGAGATGATCGCTGATAGTGGGCAACCTTGTTTTACTCCTGTTTTGTCTTCAGAGGCATTGTTGAGCTTTCTGTTGTCAATCACTTGGCATGCGGCGTCATCATGCAACTGTTGAATGTGGTTGGTAAATATTTATGGCACTAAAACCGTAGTATTGAAGCAGCTACCGAAAACTTCTCGGTCGACGCTATCGAAGGCCTTTTCAAAGTCGATGAAGTTGAGGTAGAGATTTGACTGCCATTCTATGCTCTGTTCTGTGATGATGCCTAGCGTTGCAATTTGGTTTGCACATGATTTGTTTCTCCTGAAGCCAGCCAGCGTGTTCCGGTCGTGATTTTGACT